CATTTTATGTTTGCCGTAAAATACGTTTTTTTGCAATGTCTAGTTTTAAATTGTAAGCGGTTCGTTCGGTGAAAGAAAGAATACACAGTGAGACCCGTATCTGTGATCAGGGGTTACGTTTCTGATACTCACTTTCCATAGCTGTAGTTCTTGCAGAGCACCTTCTTGTCGGCCAGCGAGTACGAGAGGAATACGAAGTCAGTCTGTACAATGTCGGTGGTGTAGACGCCAAACGCGCTGTTGCTTTTCAGAAGCAAGCTAAAAGGTAGGGAAAGTGGTCATTTCGGATTGAGAGTCTTCTATATAGTTAAGGGCTTACTCGTAGATATCAGAAAACAGCTTTTTTGCATTCTTAAATTCGGCGCTCTGTTCATTTACTACATCGGATCTTACTGAAGACACAAAGATTCCTGCAAAGATAAACAACTAATTATTAAATAACTAACTACAGGTAGTAAATCTTGGAATCTTCCTAAATTTCATTACCCAAGTTTACTGCCCATTACTGGCAATAAGAGATATATCAATATTGTTAGATCAAAAGTTTCCAAGTTACAGATAAAACAGACACAAAAAGGGTTTGGCTGCAGTTCTAATTCCTGGGCAAAGACATCTACCCATAAATAATATTCCCTAGCATTCTCTGATGTTTTCTGGGTAGGGCAGATAAAACTCCAGGGGCAGCACGCAAACCCACCAATGACGTCAAAGGAACCAGGACACATTTTGCTGGCGCTAAGCCACTGAGAGGCCAACGCCTGTGAGTTGATGTCCGAGATGGTGAGCCGGACGTCCGTCAGGTCCTCCAGATCCGCGTCCTCCTCGTTGTTCCTGGCCAGGTGGACCACCACGCTCTTGGTGAGGTCCGCTTGCTGTCGTATCCGAACCGGATGAATCCAGGGGAAAGTGAAAGGGGAGATTCAGTTGAGCGGTGGAACCAAACAAAATCTACGTGGCGGATGGGATGGCACTTACATGGCCCACGATTATCCCGTAGGAGAACTGGTTCTCCTGTGCGCATTTCTCCAGGTACAGCTCATCGTGTTTGCTCAACAGCACTGTGCGCATCGTGGATATCGGGGTTTCTGTTTGTTCCGTAAATTTAATGTTAACTATATTCGTTCCGAAATGACAAATTTTTAGAGCTGGGTGCACCCCCCACGATAGTAGCTGTAATCGAATATTTACTATCGAGGCTCTGTTTCGATACTAAGCAATAGAGCTATTCAAATTTGTGCATCACTACAGTCCGCTACACATGCCATTGTTCTTCCTTTGATTGGGATTAGGAATCAAATCCTTTAAACTGAATTAAGTACTGTTTAATGTTTGTTATTTACCAAATTTACAAAGTGTTGAATATGCCGACTATCGATACGCCTTCAGTTCCACGGATTGGTGTGACCGGATGTTATATTGTAAACCTACCTTTTTATCGATATTAAACTGAGTTTATTTTAAAAAGTTTGCCATCTCCAGAAAAACCGTTCAATTTCAAAATAGATTCAGAATTTGAAAAGGTCCAAATATTTCTACTGCTACTGCTATATTGCTACTAAGAATAATAACTAATTTTTAATATTTTGGTCTGGAATTATTTGAAAATATAGTATTTCAAAGACCATCTGCACACCAAAATTTTTATTTATTACCTTAAGCGTAACTAAATATATTTTTTAACCTGTTTCTGGCAATTTAATACAAAAATGGTTTTGACAAACTAGTATGTTTGTGTATTTATTTTAACAAAGTTATATTAGTTTTATAAAAATAAATACTTTTCTTAAATAGAAAAATGAATTCATTAATTTTAAGGGATTGATTAGTGAAAATCCAACAGTTACTTAAGGACGACCCTTCGATATAATAGGGTTGTTTATTATTGAAATGTAATTGCAGTTTTGTTTTGATTTTTTTACGATTAGTTAAAGTTCTTGAGTGTTTATCTTCCTAAACTTTAGCCACTCGACCTAAGATATTAAGACTTAATTTACCTCCGTGGCTGCGAAGCGATGAAAGTATGTACCCCCTTGGCAAGTTCTTCAATTAAGGCCCCCTGCTCCAGCTGCAACATAATCCCCATCTCGATCTCCCAATCCAGCTGCAGTGCATCTGCTGCCGTGGGGCGATTACGCACGAAATCTGGCCAAAGAGCGGACCCCATAAGTACGGATCTGTGCCACCCAAATGGTCAAGTGACCGGTGGACTATGGCGCGAACGGACGCGATCGGTAATCGAATTAGGTAAACAAACACTCCATGGGGCGGGCGTACGTTGATAATGTGTGCATAAGCAAATAGGAGACGGGATTGGGATTGGGGCTGGAACTCTGGACTGGATGGATGGAGGGATCTCGAGGAGCGGGTTGCGATTGCGGCGGCGATGACGGGCGAAAAAACTAAATGAAATTTCATTTAGGTGGTCGCCAACGGCTGCGGACCATCTGCTTGTGTGAATGCTTGATTGTTGAAGTGCCACTCGATGGGGCGAGGGCGCACGCTACTCGCAGGGATCACACTGCCAAAAATGGGGGTGAAATGGTTACGAAATATACATGTTACTATATTCTATAGTAACTTGGATCAACCCTTTAAATATTGTTTGAAAACCAGAGTCAACTTCTAGCTCTAGGATTATTTATTATCAAGAATTGATCATTAAACATTTTTTCTTTAATTTTTCAGTTTTTAATAAAAAATTGGTATTGTAAAGCTAATAAAAATAAGTTTTAAAAATATGTTTGGGAATCTTTAAAATATGCCAGTTGATGTTTAATGTAAGATAGCTCAGTGATGTGAAGTTTCTTGGGTTGGGATAAGTGCATTTTCAACGCAATATGTGCTGCAGGCTTGCGCAATTTCTCACTGTGCAGCGATCGGCATCCAGATATTATTTACTTAGTAAATTATTCCTGTTCGATTGTTTGCGTTTGCTCTGGATATCTGGCATGAGGGCACTCGAACGTCATCGTCAGCAGCGTTTCATTCATGATTCGCCTTTCACAAATCGGAGGAACATATATGCACGAGTGTTCGGATCATTGTGCACTTTGCATTCGAACAGACAAATAAATACAATGGCAGTTCTGATCAGCTTAGTGAGACATCTCATTATCGCCAGGTGATTCTGCTGAACCATACCGTTTCGCATCCAGATTTCTGGACCCCATCCCATCCCATTCCATCCCATGCCATCCCATTCGGGAATCATTTCAGGTAATTGCTTTTTAACTCGACTCTCAGCTTTCAGCTTTCATCTTTCAGCTTCCAATTTCAATCCTGCAGCGCCGGGAGCCACTCAATCCGTGGGCTTTGATGCAATTTGGCTTCTGTGCAGGCCACTCTGCCACTATGCCACTTGGTGGAGCCTGTTCTGCACCGTTCTGTTCTGTGAGCTGTGATCTGTGATCTGTGTGGCTTTCTGATCACGCCATGTGTAGTTTAGTTGCAGTTTCGATTCACATCGGATTGCCTTGCCCAGGCAGCACATCAATCATCCATCACGCACCAAAGGCCGGGAGACAACGACCCAAACTGGCAGAACAAACCTGAATGGCAAACGGCCCATGCCACGCATGTGTTTTGTATACTCGTACATATATCCAAGGTCCAGGTTGGATCGCAATGGATGCAATTTGCCCACTTCGCTGTCTATTTGGCCGGATTAAAATTCCTTTCAAATAGTTGTAAGCCATTAAGTTCTTTCAAACTGCAGGCTTTTACTTATAGAGATTGATATTTAAGGAACATGCATAGAATTGAATATTTAGTTTGGATAAACATCAATCTTAATCTTAAATGATGTTTCAGTAAATTAATGTTTAAAATTTGAGTATAAAGAGATAATTATAATTTATAAAACAAATATTAAAGAACTGTGCAGAAAAAAGCTATATAATTATATATTATATTATTATTATTTATGTTGCCTTTGGTAGTACACGAGAATGATAAACCTAATAATAACCATGTTAACATTCTTTCAATAGTCCTGTTTAGACAACATTATTTAATATTAAATAGATGTTGAGGTAGTTTTATTGATTTATTTATGTTAAAATTGATAAGATAGATATTGTGTATTATTTAAAAAATACGTTGTGTATTTGTATATATGTTTTGTTTATACAAATATATTATAAAGTAAAACCGTGGCAGCAGATATGCGACCATACTATTGAAATAGTATTAAAGGTATGTTTACAATTGTATATTATATAATCTCAATACTTAATATTCGGAAGTAAATGAAACTCGGTTTTAATATACGGCAATATACCATTCTTCTTCTTACAATTTATTTTGCTTGCGTTAAATTTTAGTGATTGTATATATGTATGCACATCTGAAAATGAAGCCCATTTGTACGTAGATTGATATGATAATCAAGAATTGGTATTTGAAAGTGCCTACTTATTGGGGCCATGGTCTCTGCCGTTAAGTAACGAAAAATTGAGTTCATTACTCAACAGAGAACATAAAGAACTATGTATGTAAATGTTCCTAAATGATAAAATTTAAGCTGTACGGCAAATTCAATCAATTAGAATGGTGCATTAGGCGAGAAATGCACCTAAAGGTTGCACCTAAAGGTTGACTTCTAACGCGCTCTATCCGAAGTACATTTGTACATTTGTGGTAAAAATAAGAGGGTTCCCCAACGCTTCTTCTTCTACTTCTTACTCTGGTTCTTGTCACTTCCCCAACGCGTTCCATCTCTCTCTCACACTCACTCCTCTACTCTCGTCTTCTTCTTCTTGCCACTGTTTATACTCAGCGCTTTGCCAACAACAACGAGTTTATAATTGTTTGATTTGTGTGCGCGCATGTGTCCATACGGTTGTCCCGCTCTCGCACAGAAGAGCGAGAGAGCAAGAGTTTACCTCAACGGGCGCCATTATGAAAGTACGGTACTCGCAAACCGGTTGGCGTTTCGAAAAGCACTCAAAAACCGAGAGAAACGGTTCGAGTGGAGCGGAGTGACCCGGGTGACCAGGTGAAATTCAAGCGCTCATTGTGCTGAGAGCAGCTTTCGCGTGAACAACGTTTCAACGGAGCGCAGCGTTCGCAAGAAATTCAATAAAAAGAAATTCTACAATAAAACGAAGAGGAAGAGACACGCAGGAGCGTTTTCTAACTGTTTCTGTCGGGATCGACTTTCGTGCATCTGTGTGCGCGCGTGTGTGTGTGTGTGCGAGTGTGAGTGAGCAGCACGCTATGAATCCAATTGACCGCATTGCGTTTCCATATCCGTTTCCGGTTGCATTCGCTATAATCGATACCTCTGCCTTGGATGTGCGACATTAGTGACTGTGATTGTGACTGCACTGTGCTCCACTTGCTGGAACCGTTATACCCAAAACGAAATTAATCAAAATCAAAATATATATAATAACAATAAATAATAAAGAGAATTGGAAAGAGCGATTCTTAGACATGTTGATTGAGCCGACTTTAAACCGTGACCTTGGCTCGCTTACTGTCGCTAATTCTGGCCTCTCGGCCGCGCACTGGAAAATGGAGCCCCATCCCCAACGCATCACATCGCTGGCCCCTCACGCTTCCAGTGGTAAGTGCCCCAAAGTGCTCCTGCTGGAAATTAGCCGACGGCAAAGCCCGGCTTGGGGATTTTGTAAAATATCCAGAAATCATTTACATAGATATCAGAAACTGGGTGAATGGTGTAATATGTCATTTAATAGTTTCGCTAGTTTTGCATACATACATAAATATTGTAGAACGCGTAGTTTTAATTCAAAGAATTATTCAAAGAAATCCGAAACTGGGTCAATGATCCACGATGTTTGTATCTATGCTTGAGAATGTTAGTTCTAATTTTTCGACATACAAATTGTGACTTAAATGATGTAGAGCTAGTAACTACATATTGATTAAACAAAAGTACAAAAAGTACAAAAGTGTTTCAGTTGGTACGTACTTACGCATTATGTAAGTCAAGGAATGGAAATTGCAAGTAAATAATACAAAAGTCCATGTAAGCCTAGCTTTGAAGTAACTTTTTCAATTTATTAAGTAAATGAAGTGCAATCCTTTATAGAATTTGTTAAGTTCGTACTGACTTAGCTCAAAATAAATGTTTTATGTTAAACCGAGTCAAATCTTCAGTCATAAACAAACACAAATAGTTACGCATGCCACAATACCGAGTGCGTGGCTCATTTGGCAGTCCCATTTCCTTGCTTTTCACCTTTCAATAGACCGAAGTAAACAAAACTGGTTCGCATTCGATGGGCGGCACAATTGATTATGGGCCCATATACATACGTATATATTCAGTTAGGCACGACGGGAGGTGCGCGTATTTTTTAAAAATATTTACTTGACAAACAACAAATGTGAAACGCGCATTTAAAACGCTAATTGACAATTTGAGCGACGAGTTGCCCAAGCCGAATGATATATGTAGGTTTTTTAAGCGAAGGCAAATACAATATTCTGTCGAATTAACGTAATACACAGTTGTTTTTCCTCTTTTTTTTCTTTGTATCCAGCTGAGTACATATTTTAATTTTCGCCTTTTGTACTAAAAGATCGTTGTCGTTTCAATTAGCTTGATAAATCTGCTCGTGCCTGGAAGATTAGTTTGCGTGTCGCCACCATTTTGGCTATTCGATTGGCTTAGACATTCGCTGGGGGAATCGGGAACGCTAATACTCGCAGGAACCATCAGTCATTTCGGTTCAGTCAACACAATTAACGCTTAATTTATCATAATTAACCATTGTGGCCGCGACAGCTAAAGCCACAATATACCCGTAATAACAATACCCAATTATCATTCAATTGCAGTAGCGGCGGCATCCGTGGCAGCAGCAGCAGCAGCAGCGGCGGCGGCGGCAGCAGCGGCGGCCGGAGCGGGATCGGGAGCGGTATCCGGTGGCGGAGGGGCCACATCCACATCACCCACATCTGTGCAAATACCACCCGGCTTTGGCGGCGGCGGCTCCACTGGCGGCATTCCGCCGGGCGCAGGTGGAGCCACTGGGAGCACACTGAACACCCTGATGTCGCAGCATCGCCTCCTGGAATTCTCACGTTTCGGTGGACTGCGCGGCTATGATATCGCCCAGCACATGCTAACACAGCAGGGAGCTGTCTCCAAGTTGCTAGGTGAGTTGTGAGCCCTTGCAAGGGACGACCCCTCAGTTCCTTCATCAGATAACTAATGGGTACTTTGTTTTCGATTTGTTTGCTAATTTTTATGATAAACATGTTATTATCCTGCGAGTTTCCCCTGCCATCCTTCATGGCGTATCCCTCGTGTGCGCAGCCGTGTAATTTGGCCACTTAAAATTGCATAAACTCCTGGCTGGCGGTGGCCAAAACGCGGCTGGCTCATTAATCAAAATGCGGCTTATTCACGGGCGGGTACTCCTTGGTGGTTGTGGTGGTGCTTGGTGCGTGCTCTCCTGGCACTGAGAAAAATTGTAATATAGTGGAATATATCCCATTAAATAGTTAGTGCCATTTAAACGTCATTTATAAATGTAAGCACATTTATTCCACTTTTAAAGTTCTTTAGCCTCAAGTCTTTTAAACCAGTCTTGCCAGTATTATAACACACAGTATTTGATCTCATGCTATTTTAAGTGTGTCAATGAGCGGATGAGCTTAACTTTTACTAAATTAAAGTTATAAACGGGGATTTAACATAACATAATCATAAGATAATCAACAGATTAAGCACTCTTGTACAAAGGACGCGCTGTTTCTAGAAGTGTATTTGCACGGGCATGTATTGTATTCCCATTCATATTTTCCGTACATCATGTTGATGAAACGAGCAGATAAAGATATTAGCAGCAAGGGATCATCCTTGCTGCCAGCCAAAAACAGATGGATTGCCAAAACCATTCTGGCAGACCCATAAATCTATTGTCTCATAATTTAAGTGGGATTCTGCTCTGATTCTTGCAGGCTCGCTGCGACCACCGGGCTTAATTGGTGGCTCAAAGCCCAAGGTGGCCACGCCGACGGTCGTCTCCAAGATCGAGCAGTACAAGCGCGAGAATCCGACGATCTTCGCCTGGGAGATACGCGAACGCCTGATCTCAGAGGGTGAGTGTTCCACATAATTGCAGCTAATCCGCGGACGCAGATTGCACGCTGATTGATCGGCGGTCGCTTTTAGCTTTTAGCTTTTGATCTCGATCTCCGACTGGTCGGTAATTGCGTAATCCCGCCTTGCAGGTGTCTGCACCAATGCCACCGCTCCCTCGGTGAGCAGCATCAATCGCATCCTGCGCAATCGAGCCGCCGAGCGGGTGGCCACCGAGTTTGCTCGCACCGCCGCCTACGGCCTGTACCCGCCACCCCCGCATCCCTACGGTAGCTTCACCTGGCATCCGGCCGGCAATGTGCCCGGCGGCCAGGGGGTGCCGCCACCGCCGCCTCCATCCGCCCTGTGGTCCGTCGCCGCTCCCACGCTCGCGAATCTGCCACCAAGCGCGGCGAGCGCTGTGCCCGTCTCCACTTGCGGCTCCCTCAGTTCGGCGCACTTGATGGGTGGCGGAGCAGGTGGCACTCCCACCAATCGGGCCATCTCGCCCGGCTCTGGCAGCCATGATACCTTGGAGTCTGCGGACGAGAACCGGCACATAGACTCCGACTACCTGGATGACGATGACGAGCCCAAGTTCAGGCGGAACAGGACCACCTTCAGTCCGGAGCAGTTGGAGGAGCTGGAGAAGGAGTTCGACAAGAGCCACTATCCTTGTGTGAGCACCAGGGAGCGGCTGTCCAGTCGCACCAGCTTGAGCGAGGCTAGAGTGCAGGTGAGTCTGGGGAAGAATAGATTTTGAATAGTAACTTTATCACAGAACATGATTTAGAGCGGGTAATGAAGTAGTTTCAAAGTATTTGGCTCAAACATATGAAAAAATAAAATCCTTCATCATTATTTAATGCCATTTATTTGTGCCCCTTCCAGGTGTGGTTCTCCAATCGGCGGGCTAAATGGCGTCGCCACCAGCGCATGAATCTCCTGAAGCGTCAGCGCTCCAGTCCCGCCAATCCGCTGCACTCGCAGCAGTCGAACGACGCGCCGGCCAGTTCGCCCACGCCCAGTAACCACAGCAGTGCCTCCACCTCCGCTCCAGTGGCTTCCGTGCCGCCTCCTCAGCAGCCCCAGTTGCCGCTGTGCGGTGATCACTCGCCACAGGCTCCGCCGCCTTCGGTGCTGTTGCATCCACTGCATGGTCCTCCGGGGGGCCACCATCACCATCATCCTCTGCACCTGCCCACGCATCCAGCTGCCCTCCAACTACTCAGCCACTACCACCAGCAGCAGCAGCAGCAACAGCAGCAGCATCAGCAGCAGCAACATCATCAGCAACAGCAACTCTCACCCACTGGTTGCAATCCTGCGGCGAGTCACCTGTCCATGGGCGGGGAGCGGAGTGCCTTCAGGAGTCTGGTGAGCTCACCCTCGGCGGCCGCCTTCCTGGGATTGGCCAGGCAATATGCCGTGGCAGCCTCACTCACGGTGGCCGAGGAGCAGCGCTCCAGATTGCACTACTCCACGGGTGGCTTGGGCAGCGGTGGTGAGAGCACAGGACCCACCACCAACACCAGCGGCACCACTCAATCTGGTGGCTCAACCATGACGGTGGACAACTCGTCATCGGACTCGGATGAGGAGATCAACGTGCACGACGATTCGGATGGTGAAATTGAGTCGTCGGCGGCGACGGCGGCAAAGGTGGCCCGCCTGTCATCCTCCGATGCGCCGGCCACGCTGCAGTTCCTAAAGCATGACCGCTAGATGGGCCACATGGGCCAAGTGGTTTAGATGGCCCACATGGTCTAGATGGGCGGCGGCAAAGTCTAATTGAAAACCTGAGTTGTGCGCGCCTCTGTGATTGACAGTGACAACAAAAACAGCAACAGCAACAGCAAAAGCAACTACTGATGCAACTGCAATTGCATTTGAAATTGCAGCTTGGTGGACTGAAACACGAGAAGCGACTACACACACAGTGGGCAAACAAATCGAAAAACCAAAGTTAAAATGCTGCTCACCTACTTGGCTGCGGTTCGGGGTCGCTAGAAAAAAAAAAAAAACAATAATAAATAAGATAAAATTGTATCAGAAAACAGCAGCAACAACATAATGGGCAGCTCAAGATTAGCTGAAATTGTAACTAATACGAGATACGAGCACGCTTGTCCCACTTGAAATGCACACACCTATTGTATACCCTACAGTTATGCATAATTATACTATACTTGTTCATTCGCCGGCTGCCGACTGCCGACTGCCGACTTACCTCATCACCATTTAAGGCTATAGCATATGCAATATCTAACTATATGTAACTCTAACTTTAAATAGTCCTAGGCCAATCTATTTATGAATGCGTATTGTGTAAGGATTTGATTCAAGAGTTGGTTGCGTTTGAACTGATATTTTGTGTAGACTAAGTGTTTTTGGCTCAAATCGAAATTTGACTACCAACCTCCGCTGAGTGAGAAACCAATAAAAAGTGCAAGAAATAATCAAGAATCTCTTACTTTCTTTTGAAAAAAAAAAACAACAAAAAATATTACCAGGAAATCGGTTTGTATAGCCTTGCTTTGGTTTGACAACAAATTTATAAACAATTTATACGTTCGATTTCACGCATAATTAACCATTCAAACACACTGAAAACACACACACAAAACACGGCCGACGAGCATAAATAAGCATTTAACACTCGAAAGCTTCTTAAAACGTTATTAAATATTAATACAATCAATATTCATTGTGTGACCACCGAACGAAGACAGTAGAAAAGCCAAACGAAATCGAAATCTGAAAATAAAATCCAAAATACGCGCATAGAAATCGCTTAAATTTCGAACGTAATGGCCAATATGTCCAAATCTGGCTGATAACATCGACATTTTAATTATAACCAAATGAAGCCGCGCGCACAAACACAGTGGGGACAAGCTAAACGAGACGAGGAGATGGTGTGGTACGGCATGGTATGGTAATGGTGTCGTATGGAATGGTATCATATGGTGTCGTATAGGGCAGGGGTACTACGCTGACCGATTAAAAATGCCGAGCCAACTAAGCACATAAATCAATGTAAATTATGGTGTTAACAAAAGGCGAGCTTGCAGGCTTGGATTGGATCCGATCGGATCGGATGGGATCGGTTTGGATCGTTGACTTTTGTAGGTTGGGAAACCGGGTGGATGCGCGTCTTTATTTCTGGCCTGGCCGAGATTTAAATGAGCTCCGGCCTCCTCGATGCCCTCGCATCTGATAAGCGAAAGAGCGTGGAGCCCATTCGTGTCGATACTTACAACTCCGATCGGAATAGGGATCGGGATCGGGGACTGGGGTTTGTGCGTTCAGGGATTTGAGAGTTTTGGGTTCGGATGGGCATCGGGTGTCCACAAATTCAATTTGCTTGGGCTTTTATGAGCAAATGGCCCAGCCCCAACGCCCCTCCCCCATCCATCCAATCCGAACCGACTTATTCTAATTTAGTGCGGAGCTGCTCGTGAGCATTCCTTTAATAAATTTAAATCACCTTCTATTGAAAATATTTTCACCTCTGGCCCATAAATTATACATTATACGATATTTATACAGTCTGCGCCACGACTGTGCCCGTTTGAATATATATACGTGTATTTTCGGCGTTTATTTGCCTTTGGCCTCGCGCATATTCAGTGATTTCGTTTAGTGTACTTAATTTTGATTTGACGTCCTGGGGATTCCATCAACGTCCTGTTTTTGCTGCTTGGATGCTTGGGATGGGCCGGAGGACGCCTCGGTTTGATGGAGCAGGGCAAAGTGGCGCTCTCATGAGCGCCATATAATCGCAGTCAAACATTTTTACGATGCAGCATCCCAAGCTCGTATATCCAGCAACTCCGACGAGCTGATCAGTTGGCCACTTGATGGTCCAAGGATCCTGCAGATTGTTCTGCAACTTTGTTGCCAAATGTTTGTGGCCCGCTGTTGGCTATGAGCAGTTTTTATTGTTTTGGGTTGGCGGAAATCGATGAACTTTACCAAGGCTCCACCGCCGGACTCGAAGCACACAGATAAACAAACTGATTAAAACTGCAATATTTACATATGAAGATGGGTATAATATGATTGATGGGAAGTATCTATGATATATCTGTGGCTTATACAAGCAGTTCTATTGGTACCAATGGTAAATATAATATATTATATGGATATATGAATTTTGAGAAATATTTTATATTTATTTTATTTCCAGTTTTTGCCAGTGCAAGTGGGTCTTTGGGCCTCCAGAGGCAAGGAGCCGGTGATAAATCTGTTGGCGAGCCGGCGCACCATCGCCATTGCATACTTCTAAATGGACCATAAACGTGCGAAGTCGCAACACCAGCAATAACTAAAGTTAGTTACGTTTACTAATATGACAACAATGTTGTTCGTGGGCCCTTCCCCATCGCAGCACTCGGATGTAAATGCGAGCTAACCAGTGCCAGGCGAATGTCGTTCCCAGGTTGTGAATGGGTATGGGAATGGGTGTCGTTATTCCGCCATTACATTTACGTCTTACAAAAACAAATATCTCAAATGAAGGGCTCTCCCTGGGCCTCAAAATCTCCTCCCCGGCAATCAAACACGCAAAAGCAATTAAGTCGCACGGGCCGAAAAGTTGTAGGATCTGCAATTACATATCCTATGCTTTGCATATGGTCACGAACCCTTACTAAATACATAAATACATAAAGAGTACGAAATTTGGTCAAGAGTCAACTAAAACGGCTGCTAATCAATAATACAATTTAGCCACAAGATCACCTCTGAGGTATTTGTTATAATTTGTTGTAGACTTGAGTTGATTTCCCTCTTGTTTCGTTCTAAGTACTTTCACAGTAATTCGAAAATTGTTATTCAAAGTAATAATACCTTATGAAATCATTAATTCCGATAATTCTGGTTTTCCGATGTTATGTTGTAGAAATTCAAAAATGTCCAAAGAATGAAGTTCTAGGGTCCTTAACTCAACTTATCTTGATTGGATATTGAAGTGGCATACCTCTAAATGTTTCTGGAGCAATGCTCTAAAAATTTGCATTAAAATATAGAATTTTATTTTTTTTTGTAATTTTTCCGATGTTATGATTTCGAGGAAATTCAAAAAAATAAAAAATGTCCCAAGGCTAAAGTTTTAAAGTCCATAACTCAACCTATCATAATCGGAATCCAAGGTGGCATTTTTAAAAAATGTCGTGATATTTTTGTTACTTTTTTATTAGTCTTGTAAATTTCTATCGACTTGCCAAAAATTTTTACCGAATTTCCAATAAATGTTGTAATTTCTCGTTTGCACTTTCACTAGCTGAGTAACGGGTATCTGATAGTCGGAGAACTCGACTATAGCATTATATCTTGCTTTTACTATAATATTGCCAATAATATTATAAATATGCGTCAAACAAAGGTGGTTTTATTCTATTAACTTCGCTATAAACAAATTGAGTTGATATATATAGAGGGAAGTAACATATTATATATCCAAAGGCACGCCCGTGAAACATGTGGGGATATTGAAATGCGTGAGAGTGTCGCCGTCCAGTCGACTGATTTATGCCCAAACTTAAATGGCCACAATGGCGATTCAGATGACCCGACCCAGGTAATCCCCGCCAGAGCCCCCGGATCCCCCAATCCGAAAGGTTCGACGTCAGAGTCGCTGTTAATGAGCCGAGCGATTAAAAAATGTGCATTTGTGTTTGTCCGCTCCTTAAATGAGCTCGAGCTTTTAACGCGCAGCTCTAGGAGTGGATGGATGGGGATCTTGGGACTTATAGAGGGGGTATACGAGGCGGGGGCAGAGTGATTTTGTCTCGTTGTCATCTCATTTGGAATTGGGCGATAAGACAAATTTGTTTTCTTTGTTTATAACTTTATGCAGATACAGGTTTCGGCTTGGATTCGTCTTCGGATTCGGATGTGGATGCGCTGCTCCACTGGGCATTGCCGACCTGGGCTTTTTCCAACAAGCCCAGTTGAAATACCCAGTAGAGTATCCCAACTTCGCCGGCAGCTAATTGAGTTGGTATATACATATATATATGTTTAATCTTTGTCGCCTCGCAAGTTGGAGCCTCGAGTCTGGTATACTGAACATTGATTTGAATTTTGAATTCAAATGTCTCCGTTTTTGTGGCTCTTTGGGGTTTTATTTCACTTTGGCTGCGGCGGCAGCTGCCGGTGACATCTTCATTAACGAGGAGTGTGATCAAAAGAGTAATGAGGTGTTGATAGTGCCCCAAAAGCGAGAGGGGCTTTATGCATTCCCCGTGGATTAATTAGGAACAATGCCACTAGCTCGGCTCTGCAGAAGTTGTTCTAGTATGCCCCCATCGGTAATTGGGGGCCTCTTGTTCCACGGATCGTTTCTGGTCTTTGATGTCTTTTCAGTTCTTTCGTAGCTCTTTTCAAATCTTGTGATCCTAAGTCTGGCTCCGATTCCGATTCTTGTTCGTGCTCAAACTGAAAACTCAAACCGAACCCGTATTCAACGCAGCTGAGGCCTTTGTTATGCCTGAGCAATTTGCATATGATAAATCTGCTTCCATATTTTGTTAAATTGCTGTGCGGGTTTTCTCTTATTGGCCTGAACTGGCCTGGCCTGGCCAAAAGCAAAACCATTGGCGCGTGGTAAATTGGTTGTATTGTAAGGCATCTAATTAGCGGCCGGCTACCGAATTATGACCAATTATAACTATTGATTGATTGTGGGCTATAATCACTGGGCTCCCCAACTCCCGTTGCTGCGGATTTCGGATTTCGGTTTCAAAACATTTCGTTCTTTCGCATTGTCGTGAAAGTTTATCGGTCAAGCCAGCCAGTTTGGGAACAAAAAATGTCAAAAGGTTAAGAGCCCCACACCCAGAAAAAAAACACATGTGTTTATTATTGTACAGAACTGTTGGGTTGCTAGAATCACATTTCTGAACTGTACGACAACTTAATTTAAACTTGTAAGCTTGCTAGATAAAGATTATAAGATTTTGCAGTTTTATATATCTTTAGAATTTGTAAATATTTTAAAAGTATATTTTCTGAGAAC